GGGGCATCAGTTTTTTAAACAAAATTTTTTATTAATACGGGAAACTTAAGTAAGGGTCTTTTTGAAAAGAAAATTTTTAATCTCATTAAACTTTTTCCCAGCAAATCGGGCATTCAAGAGGTTCCTTCACAGACTTTTTAAAGGGAATGGATAAAAAGGCCGTAAACATAAGTTTTAGGATAAAACCTGCATAAAAATTTTTCAGAACCAAGAAAAGCGCGCATACTTCTTGTTTTGGGGGAATTTTAAATTCTAAAAAAGCTTTTTTGGGGGTTTTTGGGGGGAAAAGGGGGGGGAAAAGGGGAAGGGGGTGGGGAAAAAAAAAAGGGGGGGGGGGAAAAAAAGGGGGGGTTTTTGGGGGGGGGGGAAGGGGGAAAAGGGGAAATTTTAGGGGGGGGGGGGGAAAAAAAAAAAGGGGGGGGGAAGAGGGGGGTTTTAAAAAGGGGTTTTTTTGGTGGAAAGGGGGGGGGTATTTTGGGGGAAAAAGGGGAAAAAGGGGGGGGGAAAGGGGAAAGGGGGGAAAAATTTTTTTGTGGGGGGGGGAAAGGGGGGGGGGGAAAAAGGGGGGGGGGGGGGGGAAAAAAAGGGGGGGGGGAAGGGGGGGGTGGGGGGGGGGGTTTGGTGGTTTTTTGGGGATTGGGAAAAAAAAAAATTTTTAAAAGGGGGCGGGGGGAAAAAATTTGGTTGGGAAGTTAGGGGGAAAGGGGGGGGGGGGTTTTTGGGGGGGGGGTTTATTTTTAAAGGGGGGGGGGGTGTTTTTTGGGGGGTTTTGGGTGGAAAAAGGGGGTTTAGGGGTTTTTTTGGGGGGGGTTTTTTTATTTTTTGGGGGGGGGTTTTTTGGGGGGGGTTTTTTTTGGGGGTTTTTAAAAAAAAAAGGGGGGGGGAAAAAAAAAAAAAAATTTTTGGGGAAATAAATTTTTGGGGGGGGGTTTTGGGGGAAAAAAAAACCGGTTGGGGGGGGTTTTTTGGGGGGGGGGGAAAAAAAAGGGGGGGGGGGGGTTTTGGGGAAATTAAGGGGGAATTTTGGGGGGGGAAAAAGGGGGAAAAAAAAAGGGGGGGGGAAAAAAAGGGGGGGGGAAGGGTTTTTTTAAATGGGGAAAAGGGGGGGAAGTAAAAAAAAAAAAAAAATTTTTTTTTTTGGGGGGGGGGGGGGTTTTTTTTGGGGGGGAAAGGGGAATTTTGGGGGTTTTTAAAAGGGGGGGGGGGTTTTTTAAAAAAAAAAAGGGGGGGGGGGAAAAATTTTAATTTTGGGGAAAATTTTGGGGGAAAGTTTTTAAAAAAGGGGGGGTTTGGAATAGGGGGGGGTTTTTGGGGGGGGGAAGGGTTAAGAGGGGAAGTTTTAGGGGGGGAAAAAAAAGGGGGGGGGGGGGGGGAAAAAAAATTTTAGGGGGGGGAATTTGGGGAATTATTGGGGGGAAAAAGGGGGGGGGGGTTTTTTGGGTTTTTTTGGGGGGGAAAAAATTTTTTTGTAAAAAGGGTTGGGGGGGGGGGGAAATTTTGGGGGGGTTTTGGGGGGGGGGTTTTTTTGGGGGGTTTTGGGGGGGGGGGGGGTTTTTTGGGGGGGGGGGGTTTTTTGGGGGGGGGAAAAGGGGGATTTAAAAAAAAAAAATTTTTTTTGGGGAAGGGAATTTTTTTGGGTTTTTTGGGGGGGGTTTTTTGGGGAAAGGGGGGGGGTTTTTTTAAGGGGAAAAGGGGGGGGTTTTTTAAAAAAGGGGGGGGGGGAAAAAGGGGGGGGTTTTTTTTTGGGGGGGGGGAAAGGGGTTTTTTAAAATTTGGGGGGGGGGGGAAATTAAGGGAAAAAAAGGGGGGGGGGGAAAAAGGGGGAAAAAATTTTGGGGTTTTGGGGGGTTGGGGGTTTTTTTTTGGGGGGGGGGGGGGGGTTTTTTTTGGGGGGGGGTTTTTTGGAAAATGGAAAAAGGGGGGGGGGAAAAAAGGGGGGGGGTTTTTTTGGGGAAAGGTTTTTTTTTGGGGGGGGGGGGGGGGGGGGGGGTTTTTGGGGGGGGGGGGGTTTTGGGGAAAGTTTAAAAAATTTAAAAAAAAGGGGGGGTTTTGGGGGAAGGGGGAAAAAGGGGGGGGGGGAAATAGGGGGGGGGGGATTGGGTTGGGGGGGAAAAAAAAAAGGGGGGGGGGGGGGTTAAGGGTGGGGGGAAATTGGGGTTTTAAAAGGGGGGGAAAAAGGGGGGGGGGGGGGGAAAAATTTTTTAAAAAGGGGGAATTTTGGGGGGAATTTTTGGGGGTTTTTTTTTTTTTTAAAAAAAAAAGGGTTTTTTGGGGGGGTTTTTGGGGGGGGAAAAAAAGGGGTGGTTTAGGTGGGGAAAAATTTTTGGGTAGTTTGGGGGGGAATAGGGGGGGGGGGAGGGGGGGGGGGGGAAAAATTTTTTAAGGGGGGGAAAAAGGGGGTTTGGGGGGGGTTTTTTGGGGGGGGGGGTTTTTTTTTTGGGGGTTTTTGGGGGGGGGGGTTTTTTTGGGGGAATTGGGTGGGGGGGGTTTGGGGGGGGGTTTATTGGGGGGGGGGGGGGGGGGGTTTTAAAAGGGGGAAAAGGGGGGGGGGGTTTTTTTTTGGGGGGAAAAAAAGGGGGGGTTGGGGTTTTTTTTGGGGGGGAGGGGAATTTTTTTAAAAAAAAAAGGGGTTTTTGGGGGGGTTTGGGGGGGGAAAATTGGGGGGGGGGGTTTTTTTGGGGGGGGTTTGGGGAAGAAAGGGGGTTATTTTGGAAGGGGGTTGGGGGTTTGGGGTTTTTGGGAAAAAAAAGGGGGGAAAAAAGGGGGGAAGGGGGTTTTTGGGGGGGGGAAAAAAAGGGGGTTTTTTTTTGGGGAAAAAAAAAGGGGGGGGAAAAAAAAAAATTTATTTGGGGGGGGTTTTTTTTGGGGAAAAAGTTTTTGGGGGGTTTTGGGAAAAAAAAAAAAAAAGGGGGGGTTTAAAAAAGGGGGTTTTTTTTAAAATTTTTTTTAAAAAAGGGGGGTTTTTGGGGGGGGGGGAAAAGGGGGGAAAATTTTTTTTTTTTTTTTTTTTAAAAAAAAAAAAAAAAAAAAGGGGGGGGGGGGGGAAATTTAAAAAAAAAGGGGGGGGGAAAAAAAAAAAGGGGGGGGGGGGTTTTTGGGGGAAAAGGGGGGGTTATTTTTTTTTTTTTTTAAAAAAAGGGGGGGGGGGGGAAAAAAATTTTTTAAAAAAAAAAAAAATTTTTTTTTAAAGGGGTTTTAATTTTAAAAAAATTTTTTTTTTTTTTTTTTTAAAAATTTTTTTTTAAAAAAAAGGGGGGGGGGGAAAAGGGGAAAAATTTAAAGGGGGGGTTTTTTTTGGGGGGGGAAAAAAAAAAGGGGGGGGAAAAAAAAAAAGGGGTTTTTTTTTTTTTGGGGGGGGAAAAAAAGGGGGGGGGGGTTTTTAAAATTTTTTTTCCCCCCCCCGGGGGGGGGGGAAATTTTTTTAAAACCCCCCCCGGGGGGGAAAAAATTTTTTGGGGGAAAAAAAAAAAATTTTTTTTCCCCCCGGGGAAAAAATTTTTTAAGGGTTTTTTTTTTAAAAAGGGGGGGGTTTTTTTTTTGGGGGGGGGGGGGTTTTTTTTTCCCCCCAATTGGGGGTTTTTTTTTTAAAAATTTTTTTTGGGGGGGGGGGGGGAAAAAAAGGGGGGGGGGGGGGGGGGGGTTTTTTTAAAATTTTTTTTTTAAAAAGGGGGGGGGGGGGGGGCCCCCCTTTGGGGGAAAAGGGGGGGGGGGGGGGGAAAAAAAAAGGGGGGGAAAAGTATTTTTTTTTTTAAATTTTTTTTTTAAAAAATTTGGGGAAAAAAAAAAAACCGGGGTTTTGGGGAAATTTTTGGGGGGGGGGGGGGAAAAGGAAAAAAAAAAGGGAAAAAAAAAAAAAAAGGGGGAATTTTAAAAAAAGGGGGGGGAAAAGGGGGGGGGAAAAAAATTTAAAAAGGGGGGGTTTTTTGGGGGAAAAAAAATTTTTAAAAAATTTTTTTAAAAAAAAAAAAAAAAAAACCCCCCCCCCCCCAAAAAAACCCAAAATTTTTTTTTTTTAAAAAAAGGGGGAAAAAAAAAAAAAACCCCCCGGGGCCCCTTTTAAAAAAAAATTTTTTTTTTTCCCCTTTTTAAAAAAAAATTTTTTAAAAATTAAAAAAAAAAATTTTTTTAAAAAAAAAATTTTTTAAAAATTTTTTTTATTTTTTTAAATTTTTAAAAAAAATTTTTTTTTTTTGGGGGGGAAAAAAACCTTTTCCAAATTAAAAAAATTTTTTTTTAAAAAAAACCCCTTTTTTCCCCAAAAGGTTTAAAACCCCCCAAAAAAAAGGGGGGTTTTCCCTTTTTTAAAAAAAAAGGGGGGGGGGCCCCCCCCCCCCCCCTTTTTTATTTTTTTAAAAAAAGGGGGGGTTTGGCCCCCCTTTTTTTCCCCCCAAAAAAGGGGGAAAAAAAACCCTTTAAAAAAGGGTTTTTTTTTTGGGGGGGGGGCCCCCCAATTTTTTTTCCCCCCCCAAAAAAAAAAACCCCCCCCCAAAAAAAAAAATTTTTTCCCCCCCCCAAAAAAAAAAAATTTTTTAAAAACCCCCTTTTTTCCCCCCAAAAAAGGGGTTTTTTCCCCCCCAAAAAAAAAAAGGGTTTTTCCCCCCCCCCCTTTTAAAAATTTTTTTTCCCCCCCAAAAAAAAAAGCCCCCGGGGGGGGGGAAAAACCCCAAAAAATTAAGAAGTTTTTTTTTTTTTAAAAAAAAAATTGGGGGGGGGGGGGGAAAAAAGGGGGGGGGGGGAAAAAAAAGGGGAAAAACAAAAAAAAAGGGGGGGGGGGGGCCCCAAAAAGGGATTTTGGGGGGGGGGGAAAAAAAGGGGGGGGGAAAAATAAAAACCCCCTAAAAAAAAAAAGGGTTTAAAAAATTTTTTTTTTAAAAAGGGGGGGGGAAAAAAAAAAATTTAAAAGGGGGAAAATAAATTTTTTAAAAAGGGGGTTGGTTAAAAAAAAAAAAAAGGGGAAAAAAAAGGGGGGGGGGGGGAAAAGGGGGGGGGAAAAAAAAAAAAGGGGGGGGGGTTTTGGGAAAAAAAAACCCCCCCCCCCCAAAAAAAAAAATGGCCCCAAAAAAAACCCCCCCCCGGGGGGGGGGAAAAAACCCCCCCCCCGGGGGGTTTTTTTTTTCCCCCCTTTGGGGGGGGGGCCCCCCCTTTTTTCCCCCCTTTCCCCCCCTTTTTTTTGGGGGGTTTAAAAAAGGGAAAAAAATTTCCCCCCCCCGGGGGCCCCTTTTTAAACCCCTTCCCTTTAAAAAAAAAAAAAAATTTTTTCCCAAAGGGCCCCCTAAAAAAGGGGCCCAAAAAACCCCCCCAAAAAAAAAATTTTTTCCCCCCCGGGGAAAAACAAAAAAACCCCCCTTTTTTTTTTGGGGAAAAAAATTTTTTCCCCCCCCGGGAATAAAAAAAACCCCCCCCTTTAAAAAGGGAAAATTTTGGGGGGTTTTTTTTGGGGGTTTTAAAAAAAAAAAACCCCCCCCCCGGGGGAAACGGAAAAAGCTTTTCCCTTTTCCCCCCGGCCAAAGGGGGGCCCCCCCCTTTTTTCCCCCCAAAAAAAAAAATTTTTTTTTGGGGGGGGGTTTTTTCCAATTTTTTTGGGGGGGGGAAAAAAAAAAAAGGGTTTGGTGGGTTTTAAAAAAGGGGGGGGCCCCCCCAAAAGGGGGGGGGGGGAAAAAAAAACCAAAAAAAAAAAAGGGCCCCCCTTTTTTTAAAATTTTTAAAAGGGGGGGGTTTTTTTTTTTCCCCCCCCCCTTTTTTTTAAATTTTGGGGGAAAAAAAAAAAAGGGAAAAAAAAAATTTTTGGGGGGTTAAATTTTAAAAAAAAATTTTTTTCCCTTAAAAAATTTTTTTTTAAAAAATTCCGAATTTTAAAATTTTTTTTGGGGGGGGGGGTTTTTTTAAAAAAAAAAAAGGGGAAAAAAAAAAAAAAAAAATTTTTTTTTAAAATTTTAAAAATTTTTTCTTTTTTAAAAAAAGGGTAAAATTTTTTAAAAAAAAAAAAATTTTTTTTTGGGGGGAAAAAAAAGGGCCCAATTTTTTTCCCCTTTTTTTTTAAAAAAGTCCCCCCCCCCAAAATTTGAAAAAAAAATTTTTCCCCAGGTTAAAAAAAAAATTTTTTTTTTTGGGGGAAACCAAAAAAAAAAGGGGAAAATTTTAAAAAAAAAAAAAATTTTTTTTTTTCCCCCCCTTTTTTTGGGAAATTTTGGGCCCCCCCCAAAAAAACCCCAAAATTTAACACCCCAAAAAAAAAAAAATTTTTTTTTAAAAAAAAGGAACAGGGGGGGGAAAAAAAAATTGGAAAAAAATTTTTTTTTTTTTAAAAAACCAAAAAAATTTTTAATTTTTAAAAATTAAAAAAAAAGGGGTTTTTTTTAAAAATATTTTTTTTTTTTAAAAATTTTGAAATGGGGAAAAAAATTTTAAATTTTTTTTTTTAAAAATTTTTAAAAATAGGGGGAAAAAAAAAGGGAAAAAAAACCCAAAAAAAAAAAAAAGGGGGGGTTAAATTTTTTTTAAAAAAAAAAAGGGGGGGGGGGGGGGGGGAAAATTATTTTTGGGGGAAATTTTTTGGGGGGGGGGGGTTTTTTTTTTTTTTTTTTTGGGAATTTAAAAAAAAAAAAATTTTTTTAATAAAAATAAAAAAAATTAAAAAAAATAAAAAAAAATTTTAAAAATTAAAAAAAAATTTTTAAAAAATTTTTTTTTTTTTGGGGGGTTTTTTTTTTTAAAAAAAAGGGGGGGGGGGGTTTTTAAGAATTCCCCGGGGCCCAAAAAAAAAAAGGGGAAAAAAAAAGGAAAAAAAAAAATTAATAGAAAAAAATTTTTTGGGAAGGGAAAAAAAACCCGGGGGAAAAGTTTTTTATTAAAAAAAAATTTTTTTTTGGGGGAAAAAAAAAGGGTTTTTTTAAAAGGGGGGTTTTTTTTTTAAAAAAAAAAAGGGAAAAAATTTTTTTTAAAAAAAGGGGGAAAAAAGGTTAAAAAAAAAAAGGGGGGGGGGGGGGGTTTTTTTTTTTGGGGGGGGGGTAAAAAGGGGGGGGGGTTTTTTTTAAAAAGGGAAAATTGGGGGGGGGAAAAAGGGGGGGGGGGTTTTTTTTTGGGGGGTTTTTAAAAAAAATTTTTTTTAAAAATTAAAAAAAATTTTTTTAAAATTTTTAATTTTTTTTTTTAAAAAAAATTTTTTTTGGGGTTTTTTTTAAAATTTTTGGGAAAAGGGGGGTTTGGGGGAAAAGGGAGGGGGGGGGGAAAAAAAAAAAATTTTTTTGGGGGGGGGGGGGAAAAAAAAAAAAAAAAAACCCACGGGGGTTTTTTTTTTGGGGGGGGGTTTTTTTTTGGGGTTTAAAAACCCAAAACGGGGGGGGGGGGGAAAAAAAATTTTTTAAAAAAAAAAAAAATTCCAAGGGTTTTTTAAAAAAGGGGGGGAAAAAAGGGGGGAATTTTTTAAAGGGGGGAAAAAAATTTTTTTTTTTTGGGGGGGAAAGGTCCTTTTTGGGAAAAAAAAAAAATTTTGGGGGTTTTTCCCAAATTTTAAAAATTGGGAAATTGGGGGTTTTTTTGGGGGGGGGGTTTTTTTAAATTGGTTTTTTTTTGGGGGGGGCCTTTTTTCCCGAAAAAAAAATTTTTTAAAAAAAAGGGGGGGTTTTTTTTTTTTTTGGGGGGGGGTTTTTTTGGGAAAGGGGGAAAGGGGAAAAAGGGGGGGCGGTTTTTTTTTTTTTGGGGGGGGGGTTTTTTTTGGGTTTTTTGGGGAAAGGGGGGGGTTTTTAAAAAAAAAAAAAATTTTTTAGGGTAGGGAATTTTGGGGTTTTTTGGGAAAAAAGGGGGGGAAAATTTTTTTTCCCAAGGGGGAAAGGGGGGAAAAAAGGGGGGGAAAGTAAAAAAAAAAAGGGGGGAAATTTGGGTATTTTGGGGGGTTTTTTTTGGCCTTTTGGGAAAAAGGGAAAGAAAATTAGTAGTGGAAAGATTTGGTGGCAGTAAGTGGGGGAAGTAGGGTGGTAGTTATAGGGAAAAAAAAGTGGGGGCAAAATTTTGGGGGAATTTGTGGGGAAATTTTTTAAAGGGGGAAATAGTGGAGTTATTTGGGTGGGGGAAAATAGTGGGTGGGAAAGGTTTGGGGGGAAGTAGGGGGTAGTAGTTATTTGGGGAAAGAGTTTTTGGCAGAAAGGTGGGGGGAAGGTGCTGGGGGAAAGGATTTTAGGGGAAAGTTTTGGGGTTTATTTGGAAAGAGGAATTTAGAGATGGTAGTGGGTTAGGGAAAAAAGTTTGGGGGGTAGTTGGAGGGGGATTTGGTGGTACTAGGAAAGGGGAAAGGGGTAATGGGGGTTTTTTTTTTTGGGGGAAGTAGTGGGGGTTTTTTTTTGGGGGAAGTAGAGGTTTTAGAAAGTAGGGAAAAGTAGTGGTGGTTTATTTTAGAAGGGGAAGTAGTAGTTTTTAGTATGTAAAGAAAGTATTTGGGTGGTAGTTATTTGGGGGAAGTGGTGGGGGTATTTTTTGGGTTTAATTTTTTGGTTGTGGGTTAAAAGGGAAAAGGCTGGTAAAGGGGTTTGGGGGGAAAGTATTTGGTGGTATCAGTAGGGAAAAATAGTTGGGGCAGTGGGTTTTGGGGAAGTAGTGGGGGTATTTGGGAAAAGGGGGAAGTAGGGGTTTTTGGGCAGTAGGTGGGAATTAGTTTTTTGTAGGTAAAAGGAAAATACATGCTGGCATTTATTTAAGGGAAAGAAGAGGTGGTAGGAGGGGAAAATTTGGGGAGGTATTTGGTGGGGGAATTTGGTGGTAGTTAGTAGGGGAAGAGGGGGTTGTAGTAGGTGGGGGAAAGTACTGGTGGTTTTTAAGGGGAAGCAATGGGGGTACTGGGTTTAAAATGAATTAGTGGTTTTAGAAGGTGGGGGAAAGTAGTGGGTAGTAGGGGAATTTTGGTGGCGTGGGTTGGGGGAAAATTTTTTGTTGGCAGTAGGTAGAGGAAGTATTTTTGGCATTTTAGTAGGGGAAGTTTTTTTGGTTAGGGGTTTGGGGGGAAAGTATGGAGGAAATATGGAAGGGGGAAGGGTAGTGGTGGGGGTTTGGGTTGGGAAAAAAGTAATGGTGGCAGTAAAAAAAGGGAAAAGTAGTGGGGTATTTTGGGGGGGTTTTAAAAAAAAAAAAAAATGGTCCCCCAGTGGGTTTTGTGGAAGTATTGGGGGTTTTAGTGGGGGAAGCGGTGGGGGTTTATTTTAGGTACCCGGAGGCATTGGGGAAGTTGTGGGGGAAGTAGTAGTGATAGAAAGGTAGGGGAAGTATGGGGGTTTAAAATTGTAGGGAAAGTAGTGGTGGCAATAGGTAGGGGAAGTATGGTAGAAAAATTTAGATGGGGAAATTTAATGGCAGAAAACAAAAGGGAAAAAAGGGGGTGGAATTTTAGTTTTGGGAATTTTAATGTGGCAGTAAAAGGGGTAAGTGTTGGGGTATTTAGTGGGGGAAAAATGTGGGGGGTAGGGGTACGGGTTTTTAGTGGCGGTATTTAGAAATTTGGAAAATACGGTGGCATTTAGGAAAGGGAAGGGTTTTAGTGGTGGCAGGGGGTTTTTTTGGGGAAAAGATTTGGTGGCGTGGGGTAGGGGAATTTAGTGGGGGTAGAAAAATTTTTGGGAAGTGGTGGGGGAAGTTAGAAAAGGCAATAGGGTGGGCATTTGGTTGGGGCCTTTAGGGGTTGGCAATGGGTAGGGGTTAGTGGGGATTTGGGGGGGAAAGTATAGTTGGTAGTATAAATGCGGAAGTATTGTGGCATAGGTAGGGGAAGTAGGTGGCAACAGGGAGAGTAATATTTTGGTGGTAGTAGGTGGGGGGGAAGTAGGGGAGGAAGTTTGTGGGGGAAATTAGTTTGGTAGTAGGTGGGGGGAAATTTGTGGTGGCAGTGGGTTTTAGGGAAGTATGGTGTGGTTGATAGTGGAAGTATTTGGGTTAAAGTTAGGGGGGGGAATTTGTGGTGATAGTTGGGAAAGGTGAAATAGTGGAGGAAAGTATATTTTGGTTGTATGTGGGGGAAGTATTTTGTGGGCGTAGGTGGGGGGATTTATTGGTTTAACGGGGTTACGGTAAGAGTGGGGGAGTTTTTTAATTAATGGGGGAAAAATTAGTGGTTTGGGGGTGGGTTGGGGGAAGTTTTGGGCGGTATTTTTTAGGGAATTTTTTG